TACATAATCTTACAAGTATCACAATTCAATTTTTGGATACAGCATATTGAAATAGAGTGGGTTCAAATTCCAGCTCCTTCCTTTACTACCTACGCCCTCATGGGCCTATTCATTACCCTCTCACAGCCTCCATTTCCTGCTTAATAAAATGAGAATAGTGACACCTCTCCTGCAGGGTTGTTATAACAATGTAATGAGATGTGGAAGTCTCCAGAACAGTGGGCAACACATTCAGTAAATGTTTACTTTTTTCCTTTTCTACCTTAGTTCTTCCACATATTTGATTCTGTTACTAAGCCATTAATAAAAGTGCCAGTCAAGTCAGGGGTACCTATAGCTCTGCAATACATTGAAAATACTCCCTGAAAATTAAAGAATGATCTCTTCATTAATACCCTTTGAGTATGACTCGTCAACCACTTAAAATGCACCTAGATGTCAGTGATTCCAGCCCATCTTTCTTTCAGCAAAAACAATAAACAATAACTGAGTGTCCACTTAGTGTCAGCCATGGTGTCAGGCACCTGCTACAGACATGAAGAAGATATGGTCCCTGCCCCTGGAGGCATTTACTGCTTGGTTGGGGAGACGAAGCTAGTAAGCAAATGGATGTTCCCAATTTTCACAATTGCGGAATCTCCTGAGAACCTAGGCAAAGTGTTGCCCAAGACAAGTATTGAAAGATAAATAGAAATTAACCAGGTGAAGGTGAGATCCCTTCACATCCCAGGCCACGAGTGTGCAGTGCATTGTTGCATGTGAACGAAGGGTGAGTTGTATGGGGACAGAGGTGTGGAGGGGTTGCAAGGCTGGGTGAATAATACAGGTCGGATTATGCAAGGCATTGCATGTCAGGCTGTGTCTGAATTACTGCTTCCAGGCTAACGGTTCTACCTCTTCTCTAGCAGTGACACCTTTTATTTAGAGCAGGTCTTCTAAGTGACAACTCCATTCTAGAAAACCAGCGTTACTAAGACTGATGGACTGGTGTCCCCCTTCCTGCCCGTTACCACCAGCGGTGGAGGCCAGATGTAAGACGCGGCTACATTTCAGCTGATTTAGTTCTTTGCTGTGAATAATATAGTTTGTAATGTGGATTTTTTTGAGTTTTCCATGTGTATCACTCTTGAAGCACTGGTTTTGTAGCCGAGGCAGACATTCAGGGTTCTAACAGATGAGATGGCCACATCTGAGTTTCCGAAAGTTGCTTTGACGACAGTCTGGAGGACAGACTGAGACGGAGAATGTTTGGAAACCACTTGAAGGGCCCTTTCGATAAATAACAGGTGAGGGGCTCCCTTGAGGCCATGCCAGTGGGACACGTGCACCAGACCTACTAAAAAGATACCGTTTGCCCAATTTCACCCAAGGAAACTGAGGCTCAGAAAAGTTAATCTGCCCAATGTCATGAGAGAGTCAGTGACGGAACTTGGACTTGGATCTGTGTCTTGACTGCTCATACCAAGGCCCCATCAGAATCTTTCCGGCCTCCTTCCTAGCCAACTCTTCTATCCCCTTGTGTCTTTGCTTGCTATCCTGTGGTCCTCCAGAGCTACCAGATGTGTGGAATCATCTGGTATTTGTCTTCCTCCTCCTCAGCATTTTCCTAACACAGAGTTGGCATATATTTATCAATAGAATACTTGTTAAGACCCTTTTGGTGGATTCACCCAGCTTGCTGGAAAACACCTTTTTCATCCTTATGGAAACTGGACATTCTGTCACATGCTAGACTGGCCGGATCGGCCAGGTGAGGTCTTCAGCTGTTGCTGTGATGCCCCAACTAGGCAGTCGCTGGTCACTATGACTGGTCCCTATTTTCCAAGGCTGGCAGTCTTATATGTAGGACCTGCCCCAGGGGCTGAGGGATCTGCCTTATAATCCCCTTCTTCTCAGGGTTTCACACTTCCCGTAGATCATTTCTTTTTTCTTTTAATACATTTATTTATTTTTATTTTTTTATTTTTTGCCTGTGTTGGATCTTCATTGCTGCACGCGGGCGTTCTCTAGTCGCGGCGAGCGGGGCTACTCTTCATTGCGGTGCGCTGGCTTCTCATTGCGGTGGCTTCTCGTTGCGGAGCACGGGCTCTAGGCGCGCGGGCTTCAGTAGTTGTGGCACGTGGGCTTCAGTAGTTGTGGCTCGTGGGCTCTAGAGTGAAGGCTCAGTAGTTGTGGCACACGGGCTTCATTGCTCCGCGGCATGGGGGATCCTCCCGGACCAGGGCTTGAACCGTGGCTCCTGCATTGGCAGGCGGATTCTTAACCACTGCGCCACCAGGGAAGCCCCTCCCGGTAGATCTCTGAGAGAGGAGAAATCGCAGTCTCCTCTTTATCGTAGACTACTTGGGAAGCTGAGTTTCTTATCTTTCTTTGCACAGTATTTCTCCTTTCTCTGTCCTCTCAGGCAGATTGGAGCTGTCCACCTTCAGGAATTCTTGTGCTTTCTAGTTTCCAACTTTTATTTCCTCAAAAGACTTTTCCCACCAGACATGAATAGCTATTGGCTTCTTTTCATTCTTGCTCTTGTCGTATCCCCAGCGCTCTGCCTTCACTGGAGCCAATTAAACTA